GCACTATATAACATTTTAGACACATTCTAGACAGTTTATCAGCTAAAAAAAAGTTAATTTTGGGGTAAGTTACTCTTTATTGAGGCTGGTCCAGAAGCAGCTATGACATCACCTGCACCGTGCTTCACAGATGAGCTTGTGTGCTTCAGATCATCATCAGTTCCTTTCTTTCTCCACACTTTGCTCTTCCCATCACTTTGGTAGAGATTAATCTTGGTCTCATCAGTGTATGGCAGGCCATTTTAGTATAAAATCAGATTCAGGACACTTCCATTCCAAACGTCATTTTAACTAGTCATAATGATGTTTGAGATATCTTGATTGCAATTACGGATGGTTGGCCCTTTAAATGATGAATCCAGTGACATCATATTAGGTATCTGAAATTACATTTTGACCAGTCAAAATTCCTTTTAAGATACTGTATCTTGAATTGGAATTATGACTAGTCAGAATGTTAATCTTGAATTAACATTCCAGATAGTCAAAATGTAGTTATTCCTAGTCAGAACTCATTTTTAGATATCTGGAATGTAATTACAGATAGGCAGACAAAACCGATAATATGGTAAAATGGCCWGCCATAATCAGTCCATAAGATGGTCTTCCAGAACGTGTGCAGCTCATCTCTGTATTTCTTTACAAATTCCAATCTGGTCTTCTGATTCTTATTACTGATGAGTGGTTTTTGTTTTTGTGTAAGGCCTCTATATTTCTGCTCTCAGTCTTCTTCCAACAGTGGATTGTGATACCTTCACCCCTGAACTGTGGAGGTTTTTCCACAGCTCTCACAATAATTCTGTCATCAACTACTGTTGTTGTCCYTGGGAACCTGTTGGACGTCTGCTGCTCAGTACACCAGTAGTTTCTTTCTTATTCAGAACATTTCAAATTGTTGTGCTCACTATGTCCAGTGTTTGTCCAATGGCTCTGACTGATTTTCCTTTTCTCAGATTTTCTCCCGTAGACAGCTCTGTGGTCTTCAAGTTGGTTTATTCTCTTTAACAAGAAATACCTACTTTATAGGTTTAAACCCAGGTCAAAAAGTAGACTAGTATTTAATGTTTGAACAATCTACCTTAAAGGCAACACCTGGTCAATAAGAAACACCTGTCAGTCACATGTTTTTGCTCACTTGGAAAATGGGTGGGTTTAGGCCAGGGGTCTGCAACCTTTACGACTTGATGCACTAATAAAATGTGTCCAGAGCCGCAAAGCAAGCTACAACTATAATTATCAACTGGTGGTCCATGGGCCTTTTTGAGGCCTTTTCGGGAACCTTTACGGCCAGTGGAGGTGACATTATAAACAAAAAAAATTGTGAATTTTATTATTTATTGTTATTTTTACACTTCAGGACAAATGAAAAGACCACATTCATGTAAACAAGAAAAATACTGTATACAGTTTATACTGAATTTCATAAAAACTAGAACAACTAAACTATTCAGGCACTTTTTTTTCTAATTCTTCTTATTCTTCAAATTCTTTAAAGATAATTCTGATGGATTTGAGAGAAAGATCATAGATCATACATCATCAAGTTGGATTTTTAAGTATACACAACAAGCTAGCATGAGCTAATCAACAAGTTTTACATTTTGTATTAGTAGTTTTGATCACATATTTGCATTCAAGTGGATTTTTGTTGTGGGTATAAATAAAAATCATCGTTATGTTTGGCCACATTTTCAAAGAGCCGTGGAGGGACCAAAGAGCCACATGTGGCCCCAGAGCTGCAGGTTGCAGACCCATGGTTTAGACCAGGGGTGGGCAATCCTGGTCCTCGAGGGCCGCAACCCTACAGGTTTTATGTTTTTCCCTGCTCCAACACACCTGATTCAGACATTAAATTACCTCTTCATGTTCTGCAGTATGGAGGACTGACACTGACATAACTAGAAAAAAAGGGCACAAATAAATAAATGGACCAATAAATAAATTCAAT